GTTGAAAGAAAATTTACTTGGCGTTAAGCAAGACCTACAATATCGAGAAAAGCACTCGGTCAAATAACTGTAAATATGTTTTCACGATATTCCAAATAGATCGCGTTTGAAAAAACAAAAAAAAAACCTGTTTCTCCATACTTTCAATGAATATCATTTAATAAGAATGATATATATATATATATATGAATCTTTAAATAACAAGTTATACTGACAAGTTTTCTAATATTGTTAATAATTAATCGAACACGAAAGTTAAATTAGTTGCATACGTAGCTATGTTGTTCTACTTTTGAGTTTTACAGTCTCGTTTCAAAATGAATTGGTTTAATTTGAATATCACTAATGAAGTATCTGTATATTATGTCAAGTCTAATTATAGATATGAAGCTAGATAACATTTAGAAATTATTTGTGATTTTCTTCACAGATTGGTGCCAATTAAACAATAAGCAAACGCCCATGATGTCTAAAGTAAAGGTCTTAGCATTATCTCGTACATGGTGTCTAATTGTGATAAGAAAGACTGTGATTTGATATTTGGCCTCACTGTGCTGTGTTTTTAATTTCTTACAATTATTTCATTATATGTGCAGAAAACCTTAAAATCGGACCATTTTCTCGGTCTAGGTGTTTTACTTAATAACTACTCTCGTTCTAGGTGTTTTACTTAATAACTACTCTCGATCTAGGTGTTTTACTTAATAACTACTTTTTTAGGTTTTTATAAATCCTGGTTTTTAATGAGCAGCCTTGATGTTTCATATACTGAAGATTATTAAATGAATACATGGTCACAATGTAGGATTTGATTTTTAAAAATATTTTATTAATTATGAACTCACACTTCCTTTTTCACAAAATAAGCTATGTTTTTGCATATGACAGTTTTGTAAAATACAGTCACATAATGGGAAAAAATCTTAGAATGTGAGTATAAAACTCTCATAACTTTAGTCAAAACCAGAGAAATATATGTCGATATACATTGATATGTTTCTTACTTCTCTGTACATTTTGTTAAATGTTCGAAAAAATAATATTACTATACATATAATCATGAATATTTAACTGGTGTTAATAATATCTATGATAATGTTTAAATCTACAGTTTTTTCTGGCCCAAACACTAGGAGAGTGCATTATCTAAAAAAATAAAATTCTTTGAGACATACGAAACGGTACGTGATCATATCGCGTAACTAATCAGTGATAAGGATTTGTACGACAGATGGCGCAGTGCCTTCTATCACAGTGTTATGCATTATCAGAGTTAGTTTTACAAAACACGTATGTGTTGCTGAGATAGTATAAATAAGTCTCAGTGTGTGTGTTCGTTTATATGTTGCGAAATGCGGTACCGATTATTACTAAACTTGGCATGTAACCTTAGGGGCCCGCAGGGAGTCACAAGTGGGGGGGGGGGGCATTCGGATCTAACCCACTATATATCTATTATTAGTTTAATAACAATAAGTTATTTCTATTATGGAAATAAATTACCTCAAACAGAGAGGTAACAGACATTTTTGAAAACCAAATCTTTGACTTGTTTCACTTTCACACATTTTGTACAGGTTAGAATTAGGTGTATGAGCAAAAATGTTTAATATATTTATTTCGTAGTGGCAATGGAATCAGATTAGTCTAAAACAAAAAAAAACTAGTTCATTCCTTATATTTTCGTGTACTTACTCAGAACAAGGTTTAATCCTACAGAAGGTCCTGAAAACATATTCAAGCATGTAAACAAAATGTCATCTTCATCATACTTAATGCACTCCGAGTTGTTAGAAATCCCAAATGCTGTTAAACTTTTCGTTTCTTAGAAGATTGTACTTATATCGCTAAATGTAAACAAGTCCCGATGACTACTCGTACTTAATTCAAATCCACGTATCCTCTGACTCCCGTAAAGTTCTGTATGTTGATAGGAATGCTCTTTTTGTTCATTAGACATTTTACAGTCGACTGTACTTACCAAACTTACCAGGGAAATCCCCTGAAAAAGTAGTTATTAAGTAAAACATGTAGATCGATAATTCTGCACATATATTGAAATAATTGTGAGAAATTAAAAACACAGTACAGTGTGGGAAGAAGGTAAATGATGCTTGTACTTTTTCCTCCTAGTGTCTAGATAAAAATTTATGATTTTGAAAATAAGCTTTGGCAGTGCAGTTATGACGACTGTGTTTCATGCGTAGGTGTACACTATTGGAAAAGTGACTACTTTGAAATCTTGGGTCCGTTATTTTGAGAAAACAGATTATAAATCTGCACTTCAATTCCAGTAGAGTGAATATTTGAACCGAAACACGAGTCTTATCGGAACTGAAAGTCAAAAACTATGTGTCTAACTCTGTCTGTCTGTCTGCTCATCTGCTTGTCAGTTTATCCATCATTACTTTCTGAATAGATGAGCTGTAGCGGTGCTAGAACGAAATAATTTACTTGATTTTCACTAGTTTATATATAGGATTCTAGCTTCTAATTCACTTGAGTACATAAAATAGGAAGACTTTAACTGGAAAAACAGCACTTTTGACGAATAAATGTGTACGATAATTTTTTTAAACATATTATTTAGGTTCTATAATGTGTAAAACTATAAAACTTAGAACGAATATGATGCGAAACTATCTGAAAAGTGAAATGCCATGTCTTAAGAAAGTTAGAATGCTTCAAGTCAACTTAAAATTCTCCTCAATAAGTTAAAATACACCAGTCAAAGATACTCTGAACATAGTCAGTTTGTGATCTTACTCAAATAAATTAACATATAAAGGCCTAGCATTTTTGGAGAAAATCAAGTAAACTGCAGATTTTTTTTTTTACATTTCTCTTGATTTGTCTATTTAAAATTCAAAATCAGAGGAGTATAAAAATAACATTTCAGACCTATCTTTTGTTTCCTCAAGCAACTGCCCAAAAAGCTCTTCGTTCAATACCAGAACATGCCTTTGATTTTGAATCTAAAATGGACAAATTAAGAGAAATGTGGAAAAAAATCCCCAACTTAGGTGATTTTTAATCACAAATTTTATGCCTATTAATTTCTAATTCCTTGCCAGGTTTCGTCGGTTAAACCGTAACTTTCAAAGTATTATGCTACATACATATATAACATTTCAGAGAATCTTTTGTTTCTCATCTTCCAGACTAACTGATAAATTCTGTTATTGAAAGAAGGGCCTCTTTGGGCTGTGACAAAAGTGAAACCTGAAATTTTTACGTGCATCTAATTTTTATTTAGAAATGGATAAGTTATTACAAATATGAAAAACATCTACATTTTACGTGATATTTATCACAAATTTCAAGCATATTGGTTTCTAATGCTTCGCCAGCTTTTGGCCTTTAAACCATAAAATTCATAATAGTGCAGTCAAACAGACTAAAGAAATACGAGGACATTTGAGTCAATTCACAATTTTCTTAATATAAGATAAAACATATAGTAAGAAACTGAGAAAAGATTAACTGTTCCAGTCAACTCGACATTTCCCTTATTATTTTAAAATAATATAGAAAATCTTAATACATTAAAACAGACACATCAACGTAAATCAAACACAGATGATCATTCAACACCACATACAAACGTTGCATGCCTTTTTTTGTATAAAATATCTTAATAAATCATTTTTATAGATTAATCGACATCTTTAATGAATCCTTCATTGTTAAACTTAGTCATGAACAGATATGTTGTATCATAACCCTTCCCTTTTTTTACGACTTATTTGGGATTATTGGTAGAAAATTAAATTTCTACTTTTATTTTTCAGCTGATATTCGGTTATAGGCCTAACGAATTAAATCAAATTCTTATCAATCTGCCTAGTTGTGTTTATACAAAATAGTTAAATTATACACAAGCATTTCTGAATTCGAACTTATTTGTGAAACACTCTATCTTATGTAAATATTATCTCTCGCAAATATTCCACCAAGTGGTGTAAATCACTTGAACTTCATTATTATCATATCAGTTTTTTTTCATCTTAATTTTTGTTACTAGTATCAGAGGAGTAAATTGTTGCTTATGATATTAAAGGGGCAAGTTTAATAAACTATGATTTTTTGATACAAAATAATTTGGACGTTTCCAGTTGCCCCCAGTGGCACAGCGGTATGTCTGTGGACTTACAACGCTAGAAACCGGGTTTCGATACTCGTGTTGTGCAAAGCACAGATAGCCCGTTGTGTAGCTTTGTGCTTAACTTCAAACAAACATTTCCAATTCCGTAGGATCTTAATTAATTATTATTTGTTAACGTTAGAGCTACCACGCCAAATGCAATGATTTTAATGTTCATCCTTTATTGTATATAATAATTACTTACGGACCGAAACATAAACCTTATAGTCTAATGCAATAAGCAATTTACAACAGCAAAATAACTATTTCATGTGGTAACTAAATAAACAATTAAATTGAGTCATAAGATGAATTTTCCTCGAAATCGTAAAAGAAATGTTTTAATTAAGGGAAACATACAGCTGTGGGATGTTTATTTTGAGAACTTCAGAACACAAACAGAAACTTAATTACAATATGGCATGTATGCCCCCACCCTTTTTTCATGCCCTTTGCTTTGAAAGTAAGCATAGTAGTATGCATCAACACAGGTTTTCATTATTTGTATTTAGTTGCTTATTATTAGAATCTTTTGGGAAATATATTATGGAACATTATATGACTTCAGAAACTTGATTTCTGTGTAAAACAAAAGTACAGTATGACAGTATGGTAGTTTTGAATACTGCAGAGTATGTGACTTAAAGTATTAAAAATAAAAAGAAAGATCTGGAATAGAAGTTTATTTGCTGCAAGAAGCATCAATAACACTCGACATCTAGAAATTTATTGCTTTGATAGGGCATACCGGAAGAATTCCCGCGTATGACCACTCACTTTGAGTTTATTGGCTGAGAGTCTGCCTCGTACCCAAACGGCACTTGCGCGATCGATACTCTACGTTTTGCGGAGGGAGCAGACAAGACGTCTTTGGAGTGGTGCCAGATGAAGTCGTCAGCCGCAAAGTTTGCCATGTAATCATTAATGCTGCTACCGCATGGTGAGTAACTAACGTAATACACGTTTTTTGAAATAAACCCAAGCATATTACTTGTTCATTTGTTTTCCATTAGCTGTTGGAAGAATTCTGAAACCTAAAAAAAAACATGTTATCAAATGTCATTCTTATAGAGGTACGAAAATGTCTGTTTTCAGGGAAATTCTATCACCTGAGCAATATCAATTTTTATTTCTGATCATTTAATTGCCTACCTTGTGGAATACTTTTTGCTAAGGATTGTGTATACGAAGTCACGAAAGTCTTTTGTAGACATCAATAAGAACTCCATCGAGGTTTATAGATTGGCAGCTTACGCCAAGGACTATCCAAAGTCATGAATCTATTATATCTGTCGAGGGAGCCATGAGAAAGTTTGAGAGTCTGTTGCTAAATTTTACAGACTTACGTCTTCGTGGAGAATACGTGGTATTTATATCAGCAAAGGAACCATTTCGACATTTATCACGCGTGAAAATATGTATCATCAGGTTTAATCTTGTATGTCATGTCGTTTAGTTTTCAGGTGAAAAATGATTGGAAATATCATGGTAATTATGCCGTTACATAACCAGTAAAGAATATATTTCTTATTCAGGTATTTTTGTTCAATTTGTTGATGAAGTTACGACATACTTATAAGTCTGATGTGGAAAGGTCGTATACTTACAATAATATTTTATCTTATATAGAGATTATAAATATAGGCTTATAGTTGCTTGGCCATGTTTCTGTGACATGCTTTCCTGGAGTGAAGTCCTTCTCATTCCAAGGAGTGAAAGAAACATGTACAACTATGAGCTGGAGTTTTAATTGTCTCGAATATATGTGATGGAAATGATTATTGGCGTAGATAATCTAAGTATTGTGGGACTCTGCAGTAAAACCTTGATTTGACTTGAAAGTGTGTGGCATCTTCATTATTCTTGACCTCGTTTCTGTCCTGCGTGAATTTTATGTTTTCTAGCCTGCTCTCTTGCCCCAACAACCATTTAATGTTCAGTTTCAAACTAGAAACCAGATACTTGTAACAATATGGCAGCTACTAGTGCATCTAGATGCCAAAGATTAAGTTATCAAGTTAATTTTGGAGCTGTAATCAAATCATTTTTATTGCATAGTTTATTTTGAATGTATTCTTCTGTATTTTTCGTTTTCTCATACTATAAGGTTTGTAAAACATGACTGATATGAAAAAGTACTTTCGAAGACCACTTAGAACTTGCGGTGAAGTGAAGATAGCTGCCTTTGTCAGCAGTTGAGGGAACTGTGTACGCTTTCTCGATCAGTCCTCGGGGTCGAGAAGTTGTTAAATAGCCAGGAAAACCCAATCAGCTGCTATGCAACCAGTACTTGAAGAATAACTGAAATGGTCTCTAAGGGAATTCAAAACACTCGCTTACTAACCCAGACATTGCTCCAGTTCTGCTCAAGTCTTTACAGTAGGGAGTCACATTTATCAGGATGCACATGTTTATAGGCTCTTGATGAAGGATAAGGTCTTCCCTTCGATGTTTACAGCATCTCAGCCACAAATTGGTAGAGAAGTTAGTAGCAGGTAGTTGTCTCACAATAAATTAACTACTGTGGTGATGTGAAACAGACAAATCCAACAGTGTTAAAGGGGTGATGAAGGAGGATTTTGGACTCTTTTCAGCCTTTCAAGCAAATTATTGCTTAGAATGGATGAACTCAGAGAAGGGTGGTGCAAAATTTGATACTTGGATCTAGATAGTCATGCACTCAACATTCTGAAGCACTTGTATGAGGAACATCTCGACGACTAGGATACAATTGTTAATGATTTGTGCCACATATTAAGTCAATGTTTGAATATCATGGCCCATGGAAACTTCCTGAAATGCAGTAAGGGAGTCGTGTTCTAACACAGCATAAGAAATTGAGCTAGGCTGTATAAATCAGACGAAATATGCATACTTTTACTGGATTGTAGTCTGATTTATTGTTTGTGTTTATCTGATGGTAGCACTAGCAATAAAACATGGCAGTTCAATTTCTGAAGAGAGTAAGTTTAAAATAAATGGATATTTCAGTTGCCTTAAACAAACATCTCCCTCCACTAACTTCAATAAAACACAGTAAGTCCACTATGTTTCTCACTTGGTATGATGTAGATTATCCAAAAATGCTGCATCCTTTTCTCAGTGAAATACCAAGCACTTCCATGTATTCCAGTTTAGGACATAACCGAAAATATACAAGATACTAAATATACATATCATAATATTACAATCAATTCCTTTATTTGCCTGAAAAATTGTACTTTTGTATTTATTATATTCGTGTACATAATTAACTACAAAGTATTGGACAAAAGTGTGGCATGTGTACCAACTTATAATTGACGAACTGCTGGACGGATTGTCACCAAATCTGACACGTACAATTAGGGCCTCAGAGGAGTAACATATGTGGGGAGTTGGATCTCGGATCTGACCCCTATGTACTCCCCGTCCGTTGTGTCCACTGAGAACATGAGAACACTGGACTGATTGTTACCAAGCCTGCCACATATCTTTGGCCAACTACTCCAACTTAAATGTTTTCACTAAAATAAAAGTAATCACAGACTAAAATGAAAAACATGATGACACTTCTTGCTTTAATCATAAGTCCAGATCATATTTATTTTATCAACAACAAAATATAAACAGCCCAACTTAGTAGATGCATTAGAGGTGATAGTAAAATTTACTTTTAGTGATGTAACACATCAATTATCCCGAAATCACAATTATATTATTCATTCATAACCAAAAACAAATGAAGTATATATTGTTTTCAGGTACTCTGGTTTATGAATAGGTTTTATTTGTACGGTTAAACAGTTTTTCAACTTTGTGTGTTACTGATTGTTTTACTTTAAAATTATTTCTGAAGAAGATGGTTATCATGCATATATTTTGTGTTAACTACATTTATTTATAGTTTTATGATATAATTTTTACATTGACTACACAAATATAACTCTGGATTTATTTGTGAAATCAAGTATAATTTTGCTTATTTCTTTGAAATATACTTAAATTGTGTCAGCAGGCAAACTGGAGCGGTAAATAAACAGGCTTGTAGTTTTCAGTTCCGAATTTTCCAGTAGAAAACTATTATTCTTTACCTTTCATTGTTTTCTTTTGTGATCGGTGAACCAGTCTGACAAACAGATTGTTGTTGCAATGAATCATGACTTACAGAAAGAATATGAGGACCAGCTTCTAATGCTGCCAACACTGGGAGAAGGCAAAAATTATCCACAATCCCCAGCATTGAATCTCAGTCTGGAGATAGTTAGACTGAACCACCAAATCCAAAAGCCATTGTATCAGGAAAAGGTGCCAAGACTACAGGAGCAATCAATTTAACTGCTCACAACCATTGAAACGACCCTGAAGAGTATCATTCCTAAAGAAGTACACTGGCACCTGTTTTCGGTTGAAAAGTGCCTGGTCCCTGAAGTATGCCAACGATGTGTACTGATACCTGAAAGAGGTCCATGAGAGCTCAGGCCCAAAGGGATCTTCCATAATACTTCTTCAAGCCAAAAAAGCACATCAGCAAGAGAGAGGTAAGGGAGTCCTACCATCACAGAGGCCTCAACCATTATGAACAGAACTACCATATCCACTGACACCAAACAACAGATCCAAAGAGATGCTCTTATCCGTTGTCTTACTGAAATTTCTCGATAGTGACTTAGTGAGGCCACGATTACGAAGTAATGATGTCACAGCCAAGTCCTGACTTTAGTTGGATAGAGACTTATTTCTCTATCAAGGAAGACTCAACCACTAGGGAAGGCCTTCCAGCAATAATATCAGAGAATGTAGAAGGAGGAGTGGCATTCCAGGAGGAGGTAACTTGTCTCAATAGAGACATTTAGGTGGATAGAGAGGCTTTCCTGAACATCAATGCTAAAAGACAAAGATCTATAGCGGCTCTTGAGAGTTTTCTGTCAGCTGTATAGAGGTACGATGTAAATAGTGTATATAGAGGTTGAGTACTTTATATTAAAACAAGTTGGGAGTCTAATCATGTTTTTACAGTTCATGTCACGTCTGGTAATGCTATAAATGATGATCATGCATCTTAACAATAACATTGCAGTGTAGTTTCCATTGCTAAGGGTTAGTAGCAATGTTGTCATGTGCGTCCAGAACACACCACTATTCCCTTCAAGATTTCCATAACACATCCAGTATATGAGGTTTATCTGTTTTGTTTATAGTTTTATTTTGCAGTTTTGTCTATTTCTTGTCCGATTCTCTTTAAACAATGGGTTTATTTGATGTTGATTATGCTCATGTCACTGTTTAGTATTTTTATTTATTTATCTTATGATTTCGTTTAGTGTCTATAAAGCATATAGGTATTTTTCTATTGTGTTTATTTCGATTTTTTTAGTTCATATGATTTAGTTTAATTCAGTTCTGTTTAAATGTGAACTTAATGTTTGCTCCATTTATTTTATGATTTGATTTCATTCTGTACCTAGTGTGATTTTGTTTTCAGTTTTGTTTGCTTTATAACCTTATCTGTTCTGTATTTATTATCTCTTGGTTTGTTCTATTTCAATTTAGTTTTACTGAATCCTGCTTTTGATTTATCTAGATTTTAAGTTGTAATTTTGGTTTATATTTATTTTACTTTGATTTTCTTTAATTGTGAGAATTTATGTGTTATAAAGTTCCTCTTCATTGTATAAGTGTCGTAGTATCGTGTGTGTGTTAGAAGGAGAAGATTATTGGAACTTATCACATTGTAGAACATTATAAGTTGGCTTTTAACATATAGTTTTTAAGTTTCGAGCCTAGGAAGACCCTGAAATAAGGAAAGGGAGTCTGATAATTGGAAATACCATATTTTGTCATTTCTTAATTAGTGAAGAACATATCTTTATTAAAATATATTTGGATAATTGTTCTAAATTTCCGTGAATGTTATTCTGCATTTCGTTACAACATTCTACAATGATTTTTCCGTAGGTTTATACTTTATTGAATACTAACTGTGACAGATTCCTTGGGTACTATTTCTGTGTCATGCCCTCTTTTAGTGAGGTCATACTCATTCCAAGGAGAATGTAGAGGATGACTTTCTCTGAATATATATAATAAGAATTCCTGCTTATATTGATAATCTAAGAATTATGGGATATCACACTAGAACCTTGGTCTGACCCCTTAATAATGTGGTGTATTCCTTCTTCTTGAAGTAATTTCTGTGCTGAGTGCATGTTATGTTTCTTATTCTTCTCACTTGAATATTTCACATGATCTTCCAAGCTTTGTCCATGAAATATATTTTGAAATGTACTGTGGAAAATGTAAAAATATACACATATAATAGTTAAGAAAATAATAAACATTAAAACAAGTAAAAACTGTAAAATTACATCTCCATTTGACAACACCACTTTGCGTATTTAGGAAAAAGTGAGAAACAGAAATGCATATTGAAAGATGTAACTTTTAACACTTGGAACTTTATGCGGATGTATGGCGAGTATATGCAAGCTATACACATAAATAATATTTATAATGTACCCATTTCTTTCAGTATAAACATACGTTAGTTAAAAGTATGAGTAATTGCAAAAACTGAAGAATGAAACAACTAAAATAGATCACTTCAACCATTAACCTTATTTTACAATACCCTCCTTAGAGCTTTCATGACTTAATAGCTGCTCTCTCCAATGTTTTCATTCCATTGAATGAAAACATTAGGTCGTCAAAAAATTAAAGTGCTTTTTTTAGTTGAAAAACCCGAACAGCTTATATATCAAAACAAAACATTTATTACATGAAATAGTCTCCATTCTTATGTATTATGATTTTCCATCTTACAATCAGGTTGTTAATGCCCTGATTAAAGAAATAACTTGGCTTTGAAGCCAAAAACGTTGT